AGTATTTACCCAAACCTCCCCACTGAGACAGGATGTGACAGAGGGGCGGGTTTATTGTGAGGAACCTGAGCATGTACGCTTGGGCCAGGTACAAAAATTCCCCAGTCCCATCAGTTGCACTGACTTCAGTAGTGACTACTGATCTCCAATGTTTATTGCAATGAGGGGTGCAGCCTCAGGCAGCTGTTCCCCAGGACTGGGCATCACACAGTATTTATTTTCCTCAGCTGCACCTCTCTCCACAGACAGAGGTCGCAACTGAGTTGCACTATACTTGAAGTCAGACGCAACTGAGAGATGATCATTATCCCACTGCATGTGCTGTGGAAGGATTGTTTTTCTTTATATGTTCAATCAGTTTTACAACAATAACGGTTAAATTTTTTTCCAATTGTTTTAAAAAAATGTGGGAGTGCTAACAGGATGCAACACCCTTCTACCGCCGAACTATATTGTTAATTTGATTATAAACAACCACATGTTTACGGTCAAATCACGCTGAAACACCGGTTCTCGTACGATCACCGAAGTTAAGCAGCGTAGAGCCAGGTCAGTACTTAGATTGGGGACCGCTTGGGAACACCTGGTACTGTAAGCCCCCAAAGTCCAACCCTTACCTCACAGTCGGTGGGGGGGTAAACGGTCAGTGTCAGAGAACTTATGCTCCTGGTAGGGCCACCAAAGCGGACAGGTCTGACACACACGCCAGCTAACAAGGGCTCTGGTGAAAATCCAAGGAGCGTCTGCATCGGCAACCGGCGGCTTCTGGTCGTTCCTGTCTCTGCATCTGTGGGAATCCTGCGGCAAGCAAGAACGTTATTCGAGTAGGCCTGGGTACCCTACTTCTGTAATTTATCCCAAGAATCTTCTTCTCATAACAGGAAGAAGCCGGCTCAATCCACCCAGGGTGAATGCCGCATCAGTACAGTAGTACAGTAGTACATGTTTGGTTGGTTAGATCTAGTTGGTTATTCTGGAATGTGCTGAAGCTAACAACAAAAATGATTGAAAGTAATCAATATACAAATCAAAAGATGAGTTGTGGGTGATTTTGTTAATATTTTGATGTTGAATTCTCCATAATGCTTTGTCAACAAAACCCCAACCAAGAATCACTTGACCTCAAGGAAGGCGACAATGCCACTAAGACACAAGGAGCTAATGAAAGCGAAAAAGAAGAAAAAGACTTTAGAAGAAACCAGAAACACAATCCTAAACAGGAAACAGGGGATAAACCTCTACTCCTGTTCAAAAGTCTAGGTAGGAGTGTGAACTGGATGATAGGTAAACCTATGTATACTGATGTCTTGTTAGAAGCCAAATATATTTTCTTTCAGTGATATAAAAAGAAATTAAATTTGTGATATTACTCCAACTTGTCTGCCTGGGTACTTTCTAGATGTTCTATTAAGAACCATGAAAGGATGAGACATAAATCCTCTTATACTTTTTTACCCTGAGATGTATTGGTGACAACATGGCACTCTCCCCATCCATGCAAGACACATTCACATTATGCTAATCCCATAAATATTCTATTCCTTTTATTGAGCTATCTGTATGTACATAAAAATAATTTTCTCTTTTTTTGTGATCAATGTTTTTCTTTATAGAAATACAAATGCTCCATGTGTTGAATTCATTCATTTGAAAGTTTTCAACTTCAATGCTTGCCATTACAATTTGTAACTCTAGTCCCTATAGATTACTGAAATGAAAATATTTTTGAAAACCTTGTCTATCAGACTATTTTAAAACAAAGGATGAAAGTAATTTTGTAAAATATTGCAGCGAGGGACAAAAAGTTATCTCCCCTTGACCAAGCAAAATATAACAATGAAAATAGTTATAAATATTCACAAGAATAAAAAAACAGTCGCATGACCTGACGAGACACACATGAGACATCATTAGGCAGAAAAGTGAATCTTTCTCTTTTCGCTCCGTGAAGTTATAGAAATACGATGTACATTTCATGCTTGTGATAAACCAAACAGATAAGTACAAAAATTCATATTGTCTTTTGCAAGTAAATATATGATAACCTTGTATTAAGAATTTCTAATAAAAAAATATATATTCAAGTGATTTTATATGAAGACATTTGTGTTTTATTTGAACTTTTCATATATTTATGTTGTTGTATGTTTAATTCACTTTAAATGAGGTTGATGTTTCATATCCCTCACAATAAACTGGAAATTTTAAAATATTTTGATGTTTATTCATACCTGATAATGAATTTTTTCATGGAGAACAATTATAATAGGAAAAGAAAATTTGTCAAAAGAAATCGTCATTTTAATTTTTCAACTGAAGAACCAAATATGTAATATCAAAATAAAATATGAGGGAAACAGCTTGAATACTGTTGGAATTAGAAGTTTTTTACAATGATGGTCATCCTGTACAAGGCCTAAGAGCCACTCGAGGTAGTGGGTTACAGATTAAGAGGAACAGTTTATGGGGATATGTAGGGAAGATAACAGTTGACCCTAAACTTGAACAGGTTAAGATTGTTATAATAAAGGAAGCATCCTTTTGGGAGTTGGTTCCACAAAGCAACAGTTTGTGGAGAGAAGCTGTTTGGTGGGTCTTAGCCATGAAGCTTAGAACTGGTGGAACAAAGGAATATAGTCCATTTGAACACTCTCCATGAAAATAGCAATAGAATAGTGAGAGAAATTCAAATTTACTATTGTGCTGTCAAATATAGCAAAAAAGTGACTTTTCTTTTCAAAAATTCCTATTAACACTGTTTAAATAATAGCAATAATAAAAAGATTATCAGAATTCAAATAATGATGGTTACTTTACAAATATAAACAAAGAAACATTTTCATGAATATATAAACAAAATTTATATAAACATTAAATATATATAAACATAAAACATAAAATATATAAACATAAAAGTTCATAGTTAAAATTTTAATGTTATTTTTTAATTTCTGTCTTTCTGTTTCTCTCAGTGTATAAGTCAAATCCTAAAATCAAATTGTTGATAAAACTATCAAAGGTTAAAGGTTATTTTAAAGATTCTTTTTACCACAAATAACGTAAATATAACAAGGAAATGTTTTCAATGAACACTTATGTGGTTGATAATATGGAAAGGTTTTGTAAAAACATGATTTTAAAAAACTGCACCCAATTTTAAAATTAATTTGTTGGATGCAAAGTTCATACACATGCTGATTTAATATACAAATAATGACAAATGTTTTAATGGACTTTAACTCTCATTTATAGTTTAGAATTGCAACAAATTCTTTGTGCTGTGGGAATTTGTCCCTTAAATGACATATATCCTCAGTTGCACATAAAAAAGAAATTCAGTATGTTCTGTGCATCAAATTACTACAAGTATTTCAAAAAGATTCTTTATTAAAAAGATGGCAAAGTTTAACATATGTACCTGCAAACTAAAAACCGTTATATCAAAAGAGCGTTTTTCCTCTTGATGTCCCTATTTACTGAATACTTCCTCAGTAATTTTTATTGTTTTACAGAGATGTTTTTAGAATTTTAATAAAATCCAAGCATATGAAACTGGATTTATGTATTTTTTTTCTTGAGAATTGGCAACAAAGTATTAAACATTATTCTTGTGAATAAACATTCTAATAAATAAATAGTGTTTAAAATTTTGGTTGTCAATTCTCAATAAAAAAAAATATATATAAATCCAGATGCTTGCAACCTACTTGAGTGAATTTATTTGGCAACAGCAAATAAAAGAAAATCCTGGAAATTGCATTTTTTCAGTTAATCATTGTTATCTCTTTATTTAAATTTTTATGTTCACACAGATTTTTATAAATATATGAATAAAAAAATTTATTTTCATGGTTAATTCTTTATAATATGCTAAATAATAAATATTGCATTGGAGTTGGTTTTAAATATTTTTATAATCTTGTCAATATAAAATTATTCTTGTAAATAAACATTCTAATAAAAATATAGTGTTTAACATCTTTGCTGTCATTTCTTATGAAAAAAAAGAATGCATAAATCCAGTTTGATAAGTTTGGTTTTTATTAAAATTCTAAAAATAGCTTTTTAAAACAATAAAGGGAATATAGAGTAATAGCAGTATCAAAAAAATATATGTACTTTTGACAGACTGTTTTTTTGTGGGTACATTTGTTAAACTTTGCCAAAAAGACTTTGTATTATACTGAATATCATAAAAGAATAGGAAATATATGGATATGTTCTTAAAAGATCAATGAATATTTGTAAAGAAATATTAAATGAATAATTTATATGAATCTATAATAATAATTTCTCTAAATATCTTTTGACATTATTCTATAGATTATTCTGACTAGTATTCTTATCTTTGTTTCTTTTGTCATAACATTTTGAAAATTTCTGTGCCTGTGAAAATATTGGACTCTTTGATCTGAAAATGGTTCCATTTGAAAAGATTGTGAAATGAAAAAAAAAAAATCATTGCTCTAGATTCACAGCTTGCCAGATGTGACATGCATTTTAGGGAGGCTGAAGAATACACTAGATAAATATTGAAATAAAAGCATTAATCAAAATACAAGTCTGAATATTTCCTGGAATTAATGTCAATAGTTTAAAGAGTCCATTTTGAATATTTTCAAATTAACATGAAGAATATCATAATTTTTGCTTGTTCCTCCTTTAGTAAGTTAACACATGTATTATATCCTGCCATTACCTCAGATAAATAATGAACCATTTTATTTTGTTTGTAAAGAAAGATAGAAGAAAAAATATATCAGAGATGATATTTAGTTTTTGTGAGAAAAAGAGTGCACACATAAGAAGAAAGAAAGGGAAGATAGAAGTGGCAATAACTCTCGCATACATTTAACGTCTACTTCAATGAAATGGAAAACCATTGAATCTTTTCATTTGTACCCTCTTACTTCATAAATAATGACCTGAGTTCATACTTACAATTATTTTATTGCCATTTTGCTTTCTCACTCAATAGTAATAGGGTTTACCGCCACATCACTTTGAAACACCAGTTCCCATCCGATCATCAAAGTTAAGCAATGTCAAGGCTAATCAGTACCTAAATCGGTAACCGCTTTGGAATACCAGTTGCTGTAAGCTTGAATGTGCAGGTGGTGTAATACATAATGGATCAAAATTGTTAATCAGAGAGCAGAGTTCCAATTCTCATTGGGTTTCTTATACACGAATACCCTTGGCAAAGGAATGAATCTACTTCCTCCTCCTAGCTATGGGTTAATTTGTAAGACTTGTATCGCTAAAACCATTATTATCTCCCCTTACAGTCTAAAAATAGTTTCTGGCTTTAAATAACCAGCAAAGCGTTGATAAGTCATAAAAAACAAATCAGTCAATAGTAATAATAATAATAATAATAAGCTTTAAACCTTTTAAAAAAATTTTGGTTGATTTTTTTAATAATTTCTATTTATCTCACAATGTGTCTATTTCAGATATTATGGTTTTATGCTAAACAATCCATTGTGTACATTATTAAAGTAAAACTGATATAATTAGTGACAACGAATTTTAAAAGAATTCATAAATACTAATTATGACTTAATTAGTTTTTAATTGTATAATTCATACCTGAAAGTGTTATGAGTAAAGCTTCTTGTTGTTTGTTTAATTTTAATTCTTTGTAAGTTTTATATTGATTGACGATAAAGATGAAACAACATGCAAGATAGCAAGATGGTTAAAACTAGAATTCTCTAGGATCTGAGATTATACCCTTGTGCAAATTAATTGAAACAACTGCTTTAGTTTCCTTTCTTTCACCATACAAGTTTGGATAAATTCTTTTAATTTTTTTTTTCTTTTTTTTTCTCTTTGACTCCTTCAAAATGAATGATATGATCACTGGCTAACAGAAGAGGCATACATATGCCTTGGTTTATTTTCTTCCAAATAGCCACCTGGTTCACTTGAATATTGTGCCAGTCTCCATTGAAGGATTGTCTTTGAATTTCAGTAGTAACTTAATTCTAATTTACCCTCTGTTTACCTTTGTTCTTACCATGTTATGAAATATTTTTTGTATTTTTTTTTTATTTTCTTTATTTATTAATTAACTGAAATGAATTTAGTCCTTACTGTTGTTTCGAAAAGTTTGGATAAATTCTTTGAGTTTTTTTTTTTTTCTCATTGACTCCTTTAAAATGAACTATAGGGTCACTGGTTAACAGAAGAGGTGTACATATGCCTTGGTTTATTTTCTTCCAAACAGCCATGCGGTTGACTTGAATATTGTGCCACTCTCCACTGAAGGATTGAGCAATGCTGGATAACTGAATAGTGAAGAGGAAATGGGACTTTTACTAAGTTAAAATCTTTTTAATTCTCCCCCACAACCCTTGGTAAGTGTTCCTGTCGAAAATATCCTGAGTTACCAGGCTCGTTAGCAAGCCAGTAGGACTAAAAAGGAGACCTATCAAAGGACTGAGAATTTCTCAGAGTCAACTACCAGCTTGGACTTCTTGTAAGCTGCTTTCTTTTTTTTTTTTTTTTTTTTGTGTGTGTGTGTGTGTGTGTGTGTGTGTGTGATAGGAATAGGAGCAGGTAGGCTTTCCTATCACCTGGTCAATACTCCTCCCCTTTCTCTTGAACAAGAGTAGAGGCTCACCCCTTGTTTCTTGTTTAGGAAGGGTTTCCCGGAACTCTTCCTCTCCTTCTCTCTGACCGCAGTACTAGTATTGCTGTTATTCTCCTGTGATGTGTGCAGTCTCTGGTAATGCCTCTTCATTCTGAGGATACACGATTGACAGTTTTCTGGTGGCTGTTCTCGACTGGTAGTTAGGAGCCCTAACTCTTGTGTAGTGTCTTGAGCGACCAATCTTATCAACAGTTGTATAATACTGGGGTGCCTGTAGTGCTATGTCGTGCATGGAAGTGTGTCCCTGCATTCACATCCGGTGGGCAACCGTGAGGCCACATTATGTTGCAGGCTGCGCCAGTTTCTTTCCCTCCACATCACAGTCAATGACCATCTGCTACTTATACGTCAGGCCTTCTCTTTTTCACTTCCAAAATTACCCAACATGACAAATAATGATCAAAAAAGCAAACCTAAACCAGCTTTTAAAAAATCACCTAAACCCTAGCATTTCCTTTTCTAATGTCCGTGGCATTCAAACCAACTTTTGCAGTGTGGAATCATTCCTCATTGAGAAGTCTTCTGATATACTGGCTTTCTGTGAGATCAACCTTGACTCATTTATCCCCTCCTCTGACCTCTTGATCCCCAGTTACCTTACTCTCCTTAGAAAAGACTCTCAAATCCACATGCATGGACTTGGAGTTTAAGACCATCTCTCACTGGCTAGAGAGCTCTCTCTCTCGAATCTCCAGACCACTCATACTTGTATCTCTGTCTATCTCTCCTCAATTCTGTAAGCTACCTCTTCTTCCTTTATCACTCTCCATCCTCCCAAATACTGTGGTGTACTCGAAAGCATTTCCGACAATATAGACAAGGCTATCTCTCTCCATCTGTTTGCTCATATATTCATGTTCAGGGACTTTAACGCCCACCATACTAAGTGGCTTAAAAACTCTATAACTGAACTTGCTGGCATACAAATCCTTAACTTTTCTATTCCACAATCCCTCCCACAAATGGTTGACTTTCCCACACATTTCCCCAACAACCTGGGCAACAAGGCTTCCTTTCTCGATCTCTGTTTCACCTCCATCCCTGTGTCCTCTCGCACCTTGCAGCTCTGCCCTCTTGGCAACTCTGATCATGCTGTAGTGTCTGTCAATATCTCCTTCTACTCCACCCCCAGCAAAGAAGCTCCTACCAACAGAACATCTTTCTGTTATCAACAAGCAGACTGGGACTCGTTCTGGGGTTTCCTTTGCGATGTCCCCTGGGATGTGGTCAAGCTCCCCATTCAAGAATGCGCTTCTGAGTTCTCCTCCTGGATAAAAGCTGCAATTGAGGCTTTCATCTCCACTAGGAAATATACAGTTAAATCGTGCTCATTCCCTTGGTTCTCTGCTGCTTGCTCAGCCGCCATTGCCCGTAGGAATCACTTCTTCTGCCTATATCATAGTGACATGTCAGATCACAACAGACGTCTCTTTGTCTCAGCCCGTAACGAGTGCAAGCATGTCCTCAATGAAGCAAAGTCACTATTTGCTGATAGAATGAAACAACGTATTGCATCTTGCAAATTCGGCTCCAAGGATTATTGGCGTCTCTGCAAGAGCATACCGAACAACAGCAAACCTTCAATACCTCCTTTCTTCAACCAATTTGTATCTTACTGTCACGATAGGTGCACTGTATATAAAAGTTAAAATATATAATAATTCTTCCCCATACACAGGATCTGTGACTATTTCTGTAAGAAAATGATGATTGAGTCATTCCCTTCTTCAAATTTAAATTTAATTTAAATCAAAGGGAAAAAATTCAGTTGGGGGGGGTACTTCCCCGTGACCCCCTTTGATCAAAATGAAATATAATTATCCTACCCTAGAAATATAATTATCCAAATACCCTGGGTAATGTAGTTTCAGAATATATGTGGTTATGGGGTCTATCTCCAAACCCCTAGAAGGAGTTTGATAACAAACAGACAGGCAGAGGCTACAATTTTATATATATAGAGATTCTTACCATCTTCAACTAAATTAACTAAATTTTTGGAGTATTCCAACTTGTCCTTCACCATTGCACTGTTTTGTGCATTAAATAAATGGATTGGTGTAAAATTCTGTGAGGGCTACTGAGCACGGCAGACACCTGATGAAGGTTGGAAATACAATGGCCAAAATTTTGTATAAAAACCATGTTGAGTTTTTCTGGTTCAAATGTAAAAGTCTATATTAATGCAACATGTTTATCACCTGAAATAATCTGCTGCAGGAACAACCAATTATCGCTCACTTTATAGTACAGTATAGAAGGTGTCAGATGTTGGCTGGCAGATTTTTGTCCATACACGTATAACAATTGCATCTACATGTTTCAAATAAGTTTAAAATGTAAATATACAGGCAGAAAGCTTGATAAATACGTACATAACATTCTATGACATGATTCAAATACAGACTCGTTGTCCAGTGGAGGGAAAGGCAACCTTCAAGTTGGGGGTAGTGATGTATGAGTAAGAATTTGCACGCTAAAATTAGTTCACATCAGTTTCACAGAGAGTAGCAAATTATTTTTTGTAGGGTAGCTCCAATTGCCTACCCAATGTTATAAAATGAAATAAAATATATCTCGGCTGATTTGCAGGCAAATAAACTAACATACTCAAGAGCGAGAGCCGGATGTGAACGGGACAAGGCCCCGTCACAAAATGACCATTATCGTCGTTTGCGCATAGGCCCGACGCACGAGTTCCGGTCGAAAAAAAAATTAAAGTGTTTCTATTTTTCGACCAATAAAAATGCTTCCCTCCTAATTATACTCGCGTCGTTTTTCGAGCCTGTTAAGCCATAAAAAACGCCATAAAAAGGGTCACACGGTGAAGTACAACAGCAGTCAACAGGAGGTCAGGGAAGAGACCTGTCACGGTCAGCGGAGCGGTCAGCAGCAGCCAGCAGCAGTAGTGCCACGCCAACCAGTGAGAACTACTATGAGACCCAGATTAATTCCTTTTCATCTTCAAGCGAATATTGGAATCCAATATTCCAATATTCGCTTGGAGATGAAACGGAACTAATGCTTTTAATTTAATTATATAATTAAAATTTAAGTTTTTAGCTTCCGTTTTTGAAACATGGTTATTACTGTGTAGCGAAAAACATTTTAAATCAGTTAACTTCTAATATATATATATATATATATATATATATATATATATATATATATATATAGATAATATTAGTGGTAAATATACACATACATATGCAACATATATAAATATATATACATACATACACATACATATATATATTTTTGAATAAAAAAATTCCAAGAGGATAGAATCCAGGTAAAACTCAATGTCCAGGACAGAGTAAGGATATAATAAAAAAGCTTAAACACTAATATTCCATGGTCATAATTTATTCCATTGGAATCATAAATACGATCCAATTAATCAGACCTACAAATTCAAAAAGAAAACAGTTGTAACCTGTAGT